TCAAATGTAGGACGAAGGGTGAAAGTAATATTTACTGATTTTTAACATGGGTTTAACTAATTTAGCTCTGCACCATTGCTCTATTGAATAAAGACGGGCAGGTCACAGAGAGGTGACAGGATCGGTATGAGGTCGCTTAAAAAGGTTAGCTGTGCATAAGCAAAAATAAGGATAGATGTGTCGGGAACACGACTGAGCATCGGCCATACCCGTTCGTCACACTGGATACGTGCTTTGGTGTCAAAGCTAGATTAAAGCGGGGAACACACTTGCCCAATGCAACGCTACGCGTCGCTACCCGACGCCTTGTCACGTTTTGGTAGGGTGTGCACATATATGCGACGTCAAGCGCACGCCATGTACAGTCACACAGCGAGTATCACAATCGCAACCTCTTTTGATTTTAATGCATTATTTGGAGTAAAACCATGTAATAAATTGTTAGTTAAATTTCATTGTGTCAAGTAAAGTTATTCCGGTGTATTGATAAATTTTCTTCCTAACCATCATAATTAAATAATTTTTATAAAAACTAATGAATTTTTGACCTCATTTAACCAGGTTTACATTAAAATAGGAATGTTGTAATTAATATAACTACAAAATTACATATACTTAGTTTGGAATAAACTACAAAAAATATGAGTGTCTTGTTCTGACGCTACTGGACGAAAATGGTGTAATTTTATAAGCAAAACCATGAAATAAATTCTTAATTAAATTTTATGAGCAAAACCGTGTAATAAATTGTTAGTTAAATTCATTATATCAAAACATGGTATTCTGGTGTTTTGATCAATTTTCTACCAAACCATTAAAATTAAATTTTTTAAATAAAAACTAATGAATTTTTGATCTCGGTTAATTTGGTTTATATTAAAATAAATATGTTGTAATTAATATAACGACAATAATACATGTAGTTTGAATAAAAATATGAGTGTCCGGTTCTTTTGTATTCGACTGTACTCGATGCTACCCGACGAAAATCTGGACAGTGGGGATCGCATAGCGTAGAGTAGGGTAGCGTTGTATAGCATCGGGCAGATGTGCACGGGGGTAATAAAACCTTATGGAAAATTGGACTTTGGATTTGAGTTGAGTAGAATCGGGTAGCGTCGCGTAGCAGCATCGGGTAAGTGTGTTCCCTGCGTTATTCGTAATTTCGGCGACTTACTTTTTCTAGCCTTCACGCCATTGTAATTTTTGATATTATGTATGTATTTATGTGTGTATATGTACGCTTATATGTATATGACTTTTTCTACTATTGTTAATTTTGTTAATCAACATAATATACATCATTTCTTTATTGAATCACTAGGTGGTAGGTACGTAGAAGAAAAATAAGTACAAATAAAGCTTATTCTATTTAGAACTAAATTTCCATTTCTTTTTTTAATTGAACTTATAACAAAACGGAACATACACCTGATGGTTATTCAGAAATCGAAACAGAAGACCGCATCTCACGATTTCTTACGATTTGTCTTCTGTTTCGATTTCTGAATAACTATCGATTAACGGTCACTAATCTCTACACATTTCTACACCTGATGACTAAATATCCCAATTATCAGGCCTGATCACTCTTCCGCCTAGGTCCGCTTCAGGCAGCGCCGTTTTCGCCGTGATCAATAACTTTCTTTTCGGGAATCGCCTATCGCAGTTATACCAAGTACAAACAAACTGGTTTTTTTTCCAATTTCTCTCTTGTCGTCGCGGCGACCACCTACCTGCGATCGACTGTCGCGGACTGACCACTTCTTTCAAAATTTCAAAACCGAGGTCCACTAGTCTCAAACCTACAGGCCTCGAAATGCTTCTCGCTGATTCGTCCGCCGATCAGCCTAGCTAGATCCGACTGCCTTCCGACACTATTCTGCACTACTAATTAATTAAGGTTTTTAGTTGAGATAAAAAAGTCAATGGCACGAGTGGGATTCGAACCCACGATCTTCGGCTTAATACACCGCTGCTCTACCACTTGAGCTATCGTTACCTCGATCCACTCGGACATAATAATGGACGTAACTCGGACGTAATCGGATTGGATTCTCGACGACAAATTGATACCGCTTGACTAATTAATATATTATAATTAATTAAGGTTTTTAGTTGAGATAAAAATGACATTTGAAAAATGGCAAAAGGAAGGAAAATTCAAAAGGTGCGGTTGAGATGGGAAGTTGGTGTCCGAGTGGATCGAGGTAACGATAGCTCAAGTGGTAGAGCAGCGGTGTATTAAGCCGAAGATCGTGGGTTCGAATCCCACTCGTGCCATTGACTTTTTTTATCTCAACTAAAAACCTTAATTAATTATAATATATTAATTGGTCAAGCGGACCACGAAATTAGTGAATTCTGTACTACTTTCGAAAAAATGTAATACCAGTCGCTAATATGGACATACCGGTCAGCGAGGTAGCCTAGTAGGGTAGATTGATTATCTATGGGGGTGGAAGATGTTTGGTTTTATATGCCTTTTGAAGGGTTGTTTAAAAATGTGAAATCAAATTATCAAAAAATTATTGAAATAAAAAAAATGTGAAAATCTACACTGGGTTTCAGGAGTTTTATAGCGTACCAAATGTACGGTGAAATAGTTCTAGGTGGTTGGGGTTGGGATAAGGAATGGGGAAGATGAGCCTTCGTTGATCTATTTGGGTTGGATTGTAGTCCATTGGATTTTAAAGAGGTGTAAGAAAATAGTTTTGCCTTCTCTTCGTCCGACATCTCACATAATCGGCCGTCACAATCAATTTCCGGCCGCTTATTGTTTGAAATGAGGTTCGAATCTCGCGGCGATAAGGCTGCGGATTATCGGCGCCGTTCAATAGAGAATCGCACGATGGCGTGATCGCGGCCCGACCGACGCCGGATATCACCGGAAAATGCCAGCCGTCGGAGAGATAAAAGTTTTCATTAGGCCGAGGCACGACGCAGTTTTCCCTCCGGGGGCCTTTCTTCCGACGTCAAAATATAGAGGGTCTATTGTTCCGCCGGGACATGCCACTGATTGCGCGCACATTCTGAGATCGGGCTCGGGACCACTTGCCACTGGCCGGCTCCTCAGAATCGAGATCAAACCGACTGTTGTATAAAATGACGTACAACTGGAGAACTGTCTGTCCTATTATGTCGTTTATTTATGGCCGTCATTCCAATAAGTGAAAGTACAATTGAGCTCTTAGACCATTTATCAAAAAGAATAATATACTCTGGCAGGCAGAAAATTCCACCCAATTATTTTTTTTTCATTTTCTCGATAAAAGAAAATTCTGCCCTTAATTTTTTTTACTTTTTTTATCAATACACATTTGTTTATGCCATGTTTTAAATTGGGAATATCAATTAGAGGTAAACACACATAATCCTTCATCCAAAACGAGTATAAAGGATTTTTAAATGTTTACTTTTTTCGGAATTTAAAATGTTTATTCAATATCATTTGAATTCTGAAGCAATAAACTGTTTAGTTTTCATCTTTGTTTTCTTAATTTCAATTTTTAAACTTAAAAATGACACTTAGTGCTGAGGATGTTGCGCGTGGAGTGGCACTTACTGATGATGGACGTTCCATCAGGTATGCCAATTGCGATAGTTCCCTACGAAACTCTGCGAGACGCCGTTAGACGTTTTCGAAAAACTGCGCCCTACCGCAGAAGGCCCGGTTCTGGACACCATACCACACGAAGACGGTTTTTTGACTTTGAGCACCTCACTGTTGTTCAAGCGATTCATCACCCCCTGAAAGTTCGAGGTGTCCAAATTTCTGAACGAACTGCTCAAAGAAGATTAAATCAGTGTGAACTGATGGCTTTTCGCTTTGTAAGAGGACCAGAATTGACCAGAACACACAGGGTTGCACGGCTCCCTTTTGCAGGAGAACACAGCCATTGGTCTTGGGACGATTTCGATGTACTATTTACAGATGAGTGTAGATTTGCTCTATGATCTCCAGATGGGCGTGAAAGAGTGTAGAGAAAGCTAAATAAAAGTACGAAGCCTGTAATTTTTTCCAGAGCCCGGGAATTTCAATGGAGGGTCGCACAGAGTTGGATGTTGTTCGTGGAGGGTCTTTGACGAGCACTCGCTATGTGGATAAAATTTTGGATCAAGCGTTGCCTATCCTCCAAGAAATCAACGACAATCCCGTTCTAATGCACGACAATGCCCGTCCGCATGTCGCTCACGTAGTACAAACGTACCTTCAAAAGCATAAAATCATAAACTTAGCCTGACCAGCCTGTTCTCCAGACTTGAACACCATCGAACATTTATGGGATAACCTCAAAAGACGAATAAGAGAACGTCCATCACTTCCTCATACACTCACGATCTTGAAAGAACTGTTTGTGATGAATGGGCTAACCTCCAGCAAAGAGACATTTCCAGACTGATAGTAAGTATGCCGAGGAGTCTTCAAGATCTAATTAAGACAAGAGGAGGAAAAACGCGATATTGAAATATAAATTAAAAATTCTTTGTGGAAGGTATTGGTTGAAACAAAAAAGTTAGTGTCACGAGAGGAATTCGAACCCACGACCTTCGGCTCAATACGCCGCTCTGCAACTTGTGCTAACGTAACTTCTATCCACTAGGACACAAACTTCCCATCTCAACCCACCTTTCGAAATTTCCATCCTTTTTGCCATTTTCCAAACCTCTCCATCAAACTATCTCAACCAATACCTTACATAAAGATTAATTGATTGAATGAAGTTATTTGATCAATTGTACCACGAAATCTAATGGAGTTAATTAAAAATCTAAAATAAAATTTAAACAAATTTTAGCTGTCAGCTTTTTTTTTTTCATTTTTCATTTTCCTTAGCAATTTACTTTTTTTTAACTTTTTTAGACAAAGGCTCAATTATTAAAGGTTAAAAAACGTGAAACTGATTAACATATACAAATCAAGTTATATTAGTGGGCGGAATTTTTTTTCCCGCCAGTGAATATTGAGAAAAAATTAAAAAATGGAATGTGTGTCTTACTGGTGCGTGGTGACGTTGAAGAAGAGGTCTGCGTACTGCGGTGCTGAGTCCTCGGGGCCGTGCGGTGCTGGAAAGCCGAGTACCAACATCACCGGTTTCTTGCCGAAGTACCGCTTCGATTGCCTCAGAAACGCCACCGATTCGTTCGCAATCAAGTCCGGGTAATAGTCCTTTAAAAGAATATTAAAACAGAGTGTATAAGCGGGTGGTCGAAATAACGATGAAACGCTCGATAATCGAGACGGTCTATTAACCAATACATAATTTATAATTGACAGTGTTTCGATAAAAAAAAGTGTTTATCGATGATTATTATCGCAGCCAGGCGCGGCTTAACGCCTGCCTAAGCTTGACTAAATGGCTCTGTAAAATCAATCAATGAAAGACTTCGAAACCTCACTGACGATTACGTGAAACGGTGTCGCCCACCCACGACCGTCTGGCCTTAAATTAGTATCAGCGAAAACTGTAAATAGATGAATAATGAAACATGATAACCAAATTGACACCTTTTAGATTAGAAAAACCTCAGATAGAAGTTTAATCGAATTTTTAAAGCTACACAAATAGGTCTATAATTAAGATTTTGTATGTTGTATATATAATTTTTAAAAAAATCCTTCTGTAAAATCGCACCTGGCTGGGCCTGGATAATTTTTAAAAAACCAACTGTTTCTTATTATACTTGTTCCAGAAACGCGTAATTTTTTAGCGACATGTTATTGGCTGGTTTCATCTAGATCTCGATCAATAAAAAAAAATCGTGTGGGTCGTACTTAACTGCCTTTCATTGTTATGCTGGATCTGTCGTATAAAATCTCGAAGACTTTCCTATGCTAATCGTTTAACTAGTCGCATTTCTCGTCTTGCGATGATATTTTCCGGGCCCGAAGAGGTTCCCGGTTGACGTGCAAAGGCGGAAAGAGGGCACGCGACCGACGAATCACGCGGCGATGGGAACAATAGAGATTGCGTGACTTTCTAGACAAAAGGTACCGATATATTTCATTGAATTTTTTTTTTAATGTCGAGCCGGTCGAAAAACGTTTATTGTAAATTCGAGAACATTACAAATCAAGCCTGACGAAGGGGAAGAAACAATTTTGTCATCCCAGATCTGTTTTGTAAAAGGCTAAGATAAGGGAAACTCTGAAAGAAAAAAAAATTCTCTCGAGTGTATGTAAATGATTGGGAAAGTAGACTGCTTGATAGTTACCAGTAGTACTCTACAGGGTGTCCAATTTAGATGGCCAGGCTGAATTTCTCTTGAACAATGATGCTATCTAGTTATTGATATGGTAGAAAGTTTGAACAAAAAAACAGTCATTGGGTTTGCTACTTATTAATCACATTTCATATGCCTGTCTTGCGTAAAGATGCTAAGGTTTGCTCTTTTTAACCACTTTTTACCGGTGCTCAGAGCGATCAAGTCAAGTGAGTTGAATTGGAAAGCATTTTCTATACTTTCCCGTAGTTCTTCAACCGAGGTTGCTGGGTTATGATTGGCGTAGACACTGTCCCACAAGAAATATTCAAGTGAAGTTAAATCGGGTGACCTAGGTGGCCAACAGCTCGGGCCATAATGTCCTATCAACCCATCCCAGAAGTGATTATTCAAATACCGTCTCACCTAAAGACTTGTGTACAGGGCATCCATCAAGGTAGTGAATCTTGGTCGTTGTTGGAGAGGAACATTATCTAATAATGGTGGTAAAACGTCCCTCAAAAAATTGAGGAACTGAGCACCACTTAAATTATTTTCGTAGAAATAAGGCCTAAGTAATTTATTTCCAGGAAGTACAACCAAACATTGATACTGTGTACCACCTGATGATTTCAAGAGTACGAAATTCTCGGATCTTCCTCCTCCCACGTTCGAAAATTCCAACTGTTTAGTATGCCATTAGAATCAGTCCATATGATGTATGGAAGAACGTTTTCTCCAGCATTCCAAATCGACACTTGTGTAAGGAAAGTAACACGCCTGCCGTAATCAAAGCCCCAAAGTCCCTGGACAAGATAAGAGCGATACGGCTTAAAATTGTAAGTCCGGTGACGCATATCACATCTACACGGAAAGCAAATATTTTGAGTGAGTACAAATACTTTGAATCAATCAAAACTTTTCTAGCATTGTATAAATTCATTTTTTTAATGTAAAATTTTCTATAATTGAATACATTTTTTAACCTCCTATATGTATTTATAAAATTTAAACAACGTTTAAAAATCCCAGGCCCTGAAGATGATCTCAATAAAGATCGAAACGTTGGCACGATAAAGAAAATGTTTTTCTTAAAACCTACATCACACCAGACCGCATCTCACCTCCAAATAACGGTCACTAAACACCACAAATTTCTGCATTCAATATTGTGTCATGTAAGTACTCAGGTCTTGCCGTCTCCTCTATGCTGTCTCATAGACTGTTATAGATCTGTTCCTGTTCGAGTGCCAAGCGGCCCAAATATCCTTTACCATTTTGTACCAATTTTCACAAGTTTCTACTAGATATTTCTAATACTTTCGATCCCGTTGTCAAACCTTTCCAATAGTGCTGAGAACCTTCTTATGATCACATCATAGACGAAGTTTACATAGTTAATCACACTGACTGTCTCAAAACCCCTGTTTTATCACGGTCGTCAATTTAAAGTACATATAATTACGTGATCTCACCTTGTGGTAGTCGTCGCCGTGTTTTATCTTCCTCCCGTTCACGTTGACAGAGTAGTTATAGTAGCGGGAATTCATTATGAGACCGCTCCACTCCCTCCATCCAGGCGGGATGTAACTCCCGTTGTACTTGTTTAAATACTTTCCAAAATAACCTGGAAAAAATATATTTCATGAAATCTAAGGTGGCCAAGGAAAAATATTATTTTATAACAATTGTGGAAATTAAATGTTTTATATGGACGTCAGATTTAAATGTCAATATTTTATGTCCCTATTTAGTGTACTTATCATAAAAAACCGATTAATTAAATTCCTTTGCAAAAATAATTCTAACAGTCACTTTGGTTTTATTACTAGTAAATTAGCAGGACCTCTCTGGAGTTACTAATCGGATGGTTCAAGAATTGGACGCTAAATAAGGATTGTAGTCATTTTTTTGGACATTAAGAAAGCATTTGGCTCTATTCATCATAAAATACTAATTCAAAACTTACCTAAAATTGGCAATTGTGGATATTAAATGTTTTATATGGACATGTCAGATTTAAATGTTAATATTTTATGGTCCCTATCATTAACAAATCGATTAATTAAATTTTTCTTTGCAAAAATAATTCTAATAATCGCTTTGGTTTTATTACTAGTAAATCAGCAGGACAGACCCCTCTGAAGTTATTGATCGGATTGTTCAAGAATTGGACGCTAAAAAAAGGGTTGTAGACTTTTTTTGGACATTAGGAAGGCATTTGGCTCTATTGATCATAAAATACTAATTCAAAACTTACCTAAAATTGGCAATTGTGGAAATTAAATGTTTAATATTGACAAGTCAGATTTAAATGTTAATATTTTATGTCCCTATTTGATGCTCTTATCATTAAAAAAATCGATTAATTAAATTTCTTTGCAAAAATAATTCTAACAATCGCTTTAGTTTTATTACTAGTAAATCAGCAGGACCCTCTGAAGTTACTGATCGGATTGTTCAAGAATTGGACGCTGAAAAAAGGGTTGTAGAATTTTTGGGCATTTGAATGGCATTTGGCTCTATTAATCATCAAAACTTGTCTAAAATTGGCATAAATGGAGGTGCTCTTAATCTTTTTAAATCATTATCTTTCTGATAGGATTGGATAAGTTAGATTTAAATGTTAACATTTTATGTCCCTCTTAAGGGCACTTATAAAAAAATCGATTAATTAAATTTCTTTGCAAAAGTAATTCTAACAATCACTTTAGTTTTATTACTAGTAAATCAGCAGAACAGACCCTTTGAAGTTACTGATCGGATTGTTGTTTTTTGGACACTAGGAAGGCATTTGGCTCTATTGATCATAAAATACTAATTCAAAACTTATCTACCATCGGCAATTGTGGAAATTCAATATTTTATATGGACAAGTCAGATTTAAATGTTAATTTTTATGTCCCAATTTAATGCATTTATCATTAAAAAAAATCGATTAATTTTTTTTGCAAAAATAATTCTAATAATCGCTTTGGTTTTAAGTAAATCAGGAGGACAGACCCCTCTGATGTTTCTGATCGGATTGGTTCAAGAATTGGACGCTAAAAAAAAGGGTTGTAGGATTTTTTTGGAGATTAAGGCATTTGGCTCTATTGTTCATAAAATACTAATTCAAAACTTTGCTGCCAATTTCTAAAATTGGCAAAAATGGATGTGCTCTTAATCTTTGTAAATCCTATTTTCTGATCGGGCTCAAAAAACTAGAATTGGATCTTGCTGTATAATTATCATATGCTCCAAATCGCTTTGTCCATTTTACATTATTTTGTTCTACATTATCATTTAATTATTTTTTTCAAAATAATGCATTCATTTACAGCAAAAAAAAATATTTTTGTACTTTCTTGATGTCTTAATGCTCGATGTCGTCAGTAATTGTAGAGAAGTCGTCTTATAACTACGCGTCAGCATTCAGTTGGTAGCAATGATAGTCGTAATGTTTTGTTATCAGAAATTTAACTGCTTTACGATATGTATCGCTATCGTTTGTGTTCAGCAGTAACTCGTTCACGCGTGATCGACACTATAATTTTTCATTGCCCAATAATTATTTATAGTTAGTTTGTTATTGACGTTGGTGATGTCCATTAAATTGGATGAAATCGAGATCGATGCGGTGGTGTTTCCCTCAGCATTATTTCCTCACTTGGGTAATTTATTTTACGGAGATTTGGTTGCGTTTGTACCATTTTTTTTATACTGTCTTTTTCTTGTTCCTCTAGTTATGCTAAATCGGAATCTGGAACCGTGATTTTTTCTGATTCCATCGCCTTCTCAATCTCGCTCGGCTGCGGGTTGTCAGAAATGTTTTCGTTTATTCGAATGTTATTCTTCCATGTCAGATATATAAGAAAGAAAACATCAGATATATAAACTCTTCCATGTTTGGTAAACATTCGGATAATCCTCTGGTGACCAAGGACGACGACAACTCGATCCGCTGATTTACCGACCCGGCCGAGAATTGCTTCGTTCTTGTATTTATTGTGATAAAGAGCGTAGTAAAGAAAAAAAATATTTGCACTAAGTAGCATGCCATCTGGCGTACAATGTTTACCAGTAACCGCATTTAAACTAGTGAAAACTTTCTTTTTTTTCAGAAAGAACGAGGGGTTTTAAAGGGAGCACGATTCTACGGTGTTTACAAGACAGCGACATCATCACATGTGTGAACAGCTAAATTTAAATTTAAGACCATTCCGGCCTGATTTATGCCTTCATCGTTGATTATGTAGCCTCAAACAAATTGGGGATAAAAAAAGCCACAGATAATAAAAATATGTTAATAAAAGTAAATTAACAGACACTGAACTTTGCTGCTTAACTAAACGGTAGAGACTAAACTCGCTATGTAAAAAAGTACTTAAAAGGGGCATATACTAAAGAAATTTATTTATGAGAAGGAAGCATGATAGTTACAACTCATTCATTTGTTATGACATGCTATGATAATTTTATATTCCAACTGTGAAATGATTTAATGTAATATTTCCTTTATTTTGTAAATATATATATTAATAAACATGAGTTGTATGATTATTATTATTATTACAAAGGAATCTTCATAACCATCAAAGTAGGACATCATGCCCAAAAGACTTTCCAAAGTTCAATATACGAGCCATGCCTTGAAATAGTCAATATAATATTTTTGTAATAATATTTTATATGCATAATATATTATTATATTTTATATTATATATTATTATATATTTGTGGGGTGTTTAGTAACCGTTACTTGATGATTATTTGGAGGTCGTGAGATGCGGTCTGGTGTGACGTAGGTTTTAGAAAAAGATTTTCTTTATGATGCCACGTTTCGAACTTTATTAAATCATCTTCAGGGATTTATAAATATTGTTTAAATTGTACAAGCACATGTAGGATGTAAAAAAAATGAATTTATACAATGCTAAAAAATTTTAAATTAAAAAAAGAATTTATACAATGCTACAAAAATTGTTTAGATAAAAAAATGAATTGATACGTGCTAGGAAATTTTCGATTAAAAAAACAGAATTTATAAAATGCTACAAAAAAATTAGATAAAAAAATAAATTTATATAATGGTAGAAAATTTTAGATTTTTTATTTTTTTAATCTAAAATTTTCTAGCATTTTATAAATTCATTTTTTTTATCTAAAACAATTTCTAGCATTGTCTAAATTCATTTTTTTGTAATCTAAAATATTCTAGCATTGCATAAATTCATTTTTTTCACACCTACATGTATTTGTAAAATTTAAACAATGTTTCTTAATCCCAGGCCCTGATGATGATCTCAATAAAGATCGAAACGATGGCACGATAAAGAAAATGTTTTTCTAAAACCTACGTCCCACCAGACCGCATCTCACGACCTCCAAATAAATATTATATATTATATATTTTAATATTTAACACACACATATATATATATTATTTTATATATATACATAACCAAACGAAAGAGACTAGTTACTAGAGAAGTAAGCATATTAGTTCAAATTGATTCATTTGTGACGTATTATGTTAATTTTATATTCCAACTTTGAAGTGATTTAATGTAGTATTTCCATTATTTTGTAAATATTTATATTAATAAACATGACTTTTATGATGAGGATTATTATTATTATTACAGAAGGTATTCATAACTATCAATGTAGACATCATGCCCAATATGACATTCCAAAGGGAAGTTGAATGTACGAACCATGCCCTTGAAATAGTCAATATAATATTTTTTTAATGAATAATATATATTATAATCAATGATTTATTCTTTATATAAGGCATTAGTTGAGATAAAAAGTCAATGTCACGAGCGGGATTCGAACCCACGACCTTCGGCTAAATACACCGCTTCTCTACCACTTGTACATGAATCCCGCTCGTGACACTGACTTTTTATCTCAACCAATGCCTTGTACAAAGAATAATTAATTGAAAAACGTTATTCGATCAAAAGGACCACGAACTCTAATGAATTATATTTTATATTAATNTATATATATAACTAAATGGAAGAGACTAGTTACAAGAGAAATAAGCATACTAGTTAAAATTGATTCATTTGTGTTATGTTAATTTTATATTCCAACTGTGAAGCGATTTCATGTAGTATTTCCTTTGTTTTGTATATTTATATTAATAAACATGATTTTTATGATTATTATTACAGAAGGTATTCAACTACCTAGTAGGAAATCACGCCCAATAAGACATTCCAGTAGACGAGCCATGCCCTTGAAATTGTCAAACTGACTCGAATTTATGACGTCCATTTTAAAATAAAATTCGTCTACAAAATAAAGCTTTTAAGGCTGACACGAAATGAACATAAAAACTGCGACATGAAGGTGCATTTAAAATCGGTGTTTAAAGAAACCGGCTCGAGTTTTCCCTGCGCCTTTGCGACTGCAGCATAAAAGGTGGGCCCAGGACTTGAATACGAGCAAAAAAGTTAAGTAGGCGTCGATCCGTGAACGAATAGCGTTTATAAAACGAAATATTAAGATTAGAAGGACGCGGGATAAAATATGGAGACGGGGTTCGGACGTCCGATGGTACGTGAATCCATCTGGTGCCCAAGTAGAAAACCGATTCTTTATGCAAACAATGAGGGTCGTTGACATGACCGT